ATGGACCAAGTCCCCCAAGCTACTCAGCTGCCTCCTCTCACCAGCCACAGTGCTCCCTGAGCCACAAACCTCTGGCCTCACCCCAGCCCCTCAGGCCCACGTCTTGCAATGGACTCTGCCGGTCCACCCATTCCCGGGTTGGGCCATGCGCGCTTTTGCAGCTGGGGGTGAAGACAGGGACAGGGTAAGGTGAGACTCAGATATCAGACGGCAGGTGCAAAACTGCAGGTGGAGAGATCCCTGTAGAGTGCAGGGGTTCAGGGTGGAGGCTCTGGGATGTGGAAGGAGCTGGGTGTAGCTGTCACCAACCTTTTCTCTGCCTCAGTTTCTCCATCTCTAAGCGACAGTCAAAAATAGAACCTCGGGGTGTGTAAAGATCACAATAGTTGCCCCCGCGCTGTGGCTGACGCCTGTAACCCCGGCACTTTGTAAAGCCAAGGATGACCTGAGGTCAGGAGTTCGAGACCAGCGTGACCAATAAGACAAAACTTTGTCTCTACCACGAATACAAAAATTAGCCAGGCGTGGTGGTGGGCGCCTATAATTCCAACTACTCAGGAAGCTGAAGCAGGAGAATAACTTGTGGAGGTTGCAGTGAACCGAGATCACGTCACTGCACTCCAGCCTGCGTGACAGAGCGAGACTCCGTGGCAAAAAAAAAAAAAATCACAATAGTTAGCATTTGCCAAGCGCTGGGAATTCTATTTGGCAGGTGACCAGAGCTCCATAGTGTTGGGTAATGAACACGTGGTCTGAGCGCCCAGAGCGGGAGCCGCAGGGTCTGGTGGGCCACACCCTCCAGATTCCGCTCTGGGATCCCCAAGGTCCCGCCCCTCACCCCCTCACGCCCGCCCTCGGCCCCCGCCCTCATGCCCCGCCCCCAAGCCGACTGGCCCGAACTTCTTGCCAGGAGGCCTTGGGCTAAGAGTACTTGGGGCCAGGGACCCCAGTGGGGCCGGACATGTCCCCGCCCTGGCCTAGAGCTCTCTGTGCAGTTTGGGAGAAACACCCATACCCAGGAAACGATCCTAACGCCACTGAGAGGGCGCCTGGAATGTGAGCGCCACCGGCTGGGATGGGAAGGGTGGGTAACCCCCACATCGGGGCACCCAGGAAGGGGAGCTAAGCAGATCCCTGGCACAGTTAGTGCCTGAAGTGTTATTACTTAGTTATAGTGTTATTGCTATAGTGTTATTACTCAGTTACTTCCTTTATATAATCCTTTATATATAATCACATAGTTTATAGTCAGAACTTAGTGCCTGAAGCATATGTTACTACCCACTTATTTCCATTTATATATAGATATATATCGATATAAATATAGTAGTATCTTGCTTATAGTCAGAGGAATGTCTGGAGCAGACACGGCGCAGAGCATGATTTAAGGGAAAAACAGTTACACCAGGACAAGGATTTGTGGCCCAGGCGGTAGTGCCCCTGCCTGAAAGGGCACGTGCTACATGACAGGCTGGTCCAGGTGGCAGCGTTCAGTATCGTAAAGACACCCGCCGTATGGCAGGCTTGGAGCAAGAGTCACTCCTCCTGAAAGGGAGCTGCAGTACCTTGCATCCTGTTCTGTGGAAGCTGGCCTCAGGTTGGCAAGCCCGCAAGCGTCCGAGGGCTTAAAACCCCTCCAGTATAATCACGCCTTAGTGGCTGTGAACCCTGTCAGCCCTGTTGCTATGTACTGACTCAAAGCATCCTCCTATGGAAATCACTGGAAGCTGCCAGCAGGTGGCTGTATTCCTTGTCAGCTCTTCGGCTACTGCGCTGACTCAAAGCATCTGCCTATAGAGTTCCTTAGAAGTAGCCTGCCCCTAGATAAGAGAAACTGCAAACTGCGCCCTCTTCCCTGCGCATGGACGGCCCCCCTCCTTGCCTCGGTGACCTAATGGGCTGGACCCTTTGCTTATGGCACGTGATTGTCTCGACCCTATCGCTCTTCTTAAGATGACCTCACTTACTACTATGGGTAACCCCCCATCTGGGCACCAAGGAAGGAGAGCTAAGGAGATCCCTGGCACAATTAGTGCCTGAAGAGTATCCTACTACTCCGTTATTTCCCCATATATACATACATATATATAATTATACCCTAGTTCAGTCGGAGGAATGCCCAGAGCAGACACGGTGCAGACCACGAATTAAGGGATAAACAGCTATACATATGTCATCCTATCTTGCTTATAGTCAGGGGAATGCAGACACAGTGCAGAGCATGAGTTAAGGGAAAAACAGTTACACCAGGACAAGAACCTGGCCCCAGCGGGAGCGTTAAGTCTTGTAAAGATGCCCGCTGTGTGGCAGGCTTGGAGCAAGAGCCTCTCCTCATGATAAAGGAGTTGTAGTACCTTGCGTCCAGTTCTTGTGGAAGGCTGCCCTCAGACCCGCAATCCCGAGAGCCTCTGAGGACTTAAAAGCCCTCGGGTATAACCGCGCCTTGGTGACGAGGTAACTTGTCAGCTCTCTAGCTACTGCGCTGCTCAGAGCAACCTCCTAGAGAGATCATTGCAAGCTGCCAGCAGGTGTCTGTGGACCTGGTCAGCTCTGTTGCTGCTCAAAGCGTCCTCCTATAGAATTCCTCAGAAGTAGCCTGCCCCAGACAAGAGATACTGCGCGCTGCACTCCTCACTGCGCACGGCCCCCCTCCTTGCCCAGGTGACCTAATGGGGGTGGACCCCTCATTTACTGCCCACGTGATTGTCTTGACCTTGTCACTGTCTTTAGGATGACCTCACTCACTACCCTTCCCGCTATCTGGTACCCAGTAAATACAGACGCTCCTGGATGCTCCGGGCCTCGCCTGTCTCCGCTGGTAAACAGTGTGGTGCCCCGAGCCCAGCTGCTCTTGTCCAGTCCTTCAGTGTCTTGTCTCTTTATTTCTCGGATTCTTCACGTCAGCACAGTGATAGGCGACACCCCATGGCCCTGTAAGGGCTTGACCCTATAGGTAGAGGTCTGTACAGTGATTGCTGGATCCTTCAGGGAACCTGAAGGATGGTTCACTGGGCACGAGGCCTGTGCAGTGATTGCTGGAAAGATGGCGTGGACAGGAGCTGGCTGCCCTGGCCACCCAGGCAACCCCCAACTGGATAGGCCAGGGCCTGGGGCAGAAGGTGAACCAAGGGGTCGGCAGAGGGCGGCAGCCAGGCATGGGGAGGCCCAACAGCATGGCCCCTGAGGCCAGCGCATCCTGACACTGCCCAGCCTGTGTCCCAGGCCCACTGGGGGCTCCACGCCATAGCCAGGAGCTGGGGTGAATGTCACACCACAGGCCCCATCCCTGCTAGGCATGCAGGACCCCTGCAAATATATTTATATATTTAGTATGTGAATTATATTTCAATAAAGCCGATACAAGATACACTTCGCATACCATGCAGTTCACCCATTCAACTCATTTAGAGTGTACGGTTCAGTGGTTTTTAGTACCTTCAGGATTAGAAGCCGAGGTCAATTTTAGGTCATTTTCGTCGCCCCAAAAGAAATCTGCCACCCTTTAGCAGTTGCCCCTTATTATCCCTTCCCCAATCCCTGGTGAAAACTAATTTCTGTCTTCATAGATTTGCATTTTCTGGACATTTCATATAAATGGGTCACATAATGCAGTCTCCTGTGACTGGCTTCTTTTACCTAGCATAATATTTTTTTTTTCTTTCTTTCTCTTTTTTTTTTTTTTCTTTTTGAGACAGAGTTTCGCTCTTGTTACCCAGGCTGGAGGGCAATGGCGCGATCTCGGCTCACTGCAACCTCCACCTCCTGGGTTCAGGCAATTCTCCTGCCTCAGCCTCCTGAGTAGCTGGGATTACAGGCACGCGCCACCACTCCCAGCTAATTTTTGTATTTTTAGTAGAGACGGGGTTTCACCATGTTGACCAGGATGGTCTCGATCTCTTGACCTCGTGATTCACCTGCCTCGGGCTCCCAAAGTGCTGGGATTACAGGCGTGAGCCACCACTCCCGGCCTCTTTTTTTTTTTTTTTGAGACAGAGTCTCGCTCTGCAGCCCAGGCTGGAGTGCAGTGGCACGATCTCAGCTCACTGCAACCTCCACTTCCAGGGTGCAAATGATTCTCCTACCTCAGCCTCCTGAGTAGCAGGGATTACAGGCGTCCACCACCACGCCTGGCTAGTTTTTGTATTTTTATTAAAGATGGGGTTTCGACATGTTGCCAAGTCTGGTCTCCAACTGCTGGACTCAGGTCATCGGCCCGCCTGGGCCTCCCAAAGTGCTGTGATTACAGGCGTGAGCCAGGGCACCTGGCCTGCCTTGCACAATGTTTTCAGGGTCCAGCCATGCTGTAGCGTGCAGATGCTTCGCTCCTCGATGGCTGCTGTTAGCAAGATGCTGCAGCTATGAGCGTCCATGTGTAAGTCTGGCGTGGACACGTGTTTCCATGTTTGAGGAGCTGCTATCTAGCTTTTCAAAGTGGCTCAGGAGCTTTTTTGCGGGGTACCATGCCAACAATTTGATTCAACCAAAACCAGCGTGTCCACCCCATCCTGGGCATCCAATTTCACACAATCCCGAGAAAAAATGACCCGGATTGGGCAGGATACGGTGGCTCACGCCTGTAATCGCAGCACTTGGGAAGGCGGGCGGATCACCTGAGGTCAGGAGTTCAAGACTAGCTTGGCCAACATGGGGAAACCCTGTCTCTACTAAAAAAAAAAAAAAAAAAAAAATACAAAAATTAGCCAGGCGTCTGTCATCCCAGCTACTCGGGAGGCTGAGGCAGGAGAATCGCTTGAATCCGGGAGGCGGAGGTTGCAGTGAGCCGAGATCTCGCCACTACACTCCAGCCCAGACGACAGAGCCAGACTCCATCGCCAAAAAAAAACGAAAAAAAAAAAAAAAAAAAGACCCAGATCGCACTGGGGTGAAGGGTCGGGAAGCGCCCAAAGGGAGAACCGGGCTGGGCTCCGGGATCCGTAGGTGAGGAAGGGGCGAAGGGGTGGAGGGCCTCGGACCAGGCCGCTGGGGATGTCTGTGGTTACCTCCGAGCTCTGGCGGCCTTGGTGAGACCCTCGCCACCCGCCGCTCGGTTCCCGCGGCCTCAATCGCACCGCGGTCCAGCTCCGGTTACCTGGCAACCAGGTGGCATCCTTCCCAGCAAGCCCTGCGTCTAACCCGCGAGTTGGACCACAAGGCCCAGCATGCCCCGCGCGGACTACAAGCCCCACAATGCACCGCACACCCTTTTCTTGCCGGCCCCTCGCCGCTCTCCGGAGACCCCGCGGGCGAGCGCCGCGACCCCTTCCCGGCGCTCCTCGCGCGGTGCGTGGCGCGTTCCCTCGCCGGTGACCCGGTGTGCGTGAGGTCGAGGCTCCAGGCGGAGCGGCTCCGGGCCGAAACGCCATGCGGAGGGGCGAGCGCAGGGACGCTGGGGGTCCGCGGCCCGGGTCCCCGGTGCCCGCGGGCAAGGCCTCGCTGGAGGAGCCGCCTGACGGGCCGTCTGCCGGCCGAGACCCCGGGCCGGGCGCGGGCCGCCGCAGCACCGAGTCCGAGGTGTACGACGACGGCACCAACACCTTCTTCTGGTGAGGAACGGGGGGCGGCGCGGGGGGCGCGGCCGCGCTCGGCCCGGGGGTCCCGGCAGCGCCTTCCCGCCGGCTTGGAGTCCGGGGCTGCGGCCGGGGTTCCAGGGTATGCAGCACCGGGTCCCGGGGACGGGCCGGACGGAGCTCCGGAGGCCGGGCGTGGCGGGGCGGGGGGCGGGGGGCGCAGGGCGGTGCTGTGGGCGGGGGAGGCCCTGGCCGGACCCTCCCCGGGGCTGCCTCGCGTCTCTCGCCGCCCACCGCGCGTTAGGAGGTCCAGCCCCTTCCCCGCCGCCCGCCTCCGCGCCGCCCCAGAAACGCTTTCTCTGGTCTCGGTCCACGCTCGACCCGTGTCCCGTCATTCCGCCTGTGGCTGCGCGACATCATCTCGTGTGTGTGTCGCCCCGACCCCCGCGTGGCGGCCGCGTTGGTGACAGTGTCGCGCGTGCTGCGGGAGCGTGGCGGCGTCGGTCGAATCCGGGCTCCGCGTCTCTCCCCAGTTGCCCCCAGAGGAGCCAGCGCGTCCCCCCTGCACAGCTCGGCCCCCGCCAAGCCCTGGGGTCCCGCGTCTGCCGCTCTGCCTTTCCCGGGATGGAAGCGGAAAAGGTCCCGGGAGCCGCTGGAGGGTGGCGCTCTATCCAGGCAGGCTCCGGGCGCGCTCCTGCCCCCGCCTACGCTGCGACCTTTGCTCCCCTGCGAGGCCTGCAAGCTACTTCTCTTCGCTGCACGGTGCGCAGTTCCAGTCCTGGGGAAGGCCCGGGGCGCAGGTGCAGTAGAAGTGGCCTCAGCCTGAGCAGAGCCTGTGGGAGAGACAGACGCCTGTGGCTGGCGGTGGAAGGCGGCGTGGACGCCTAACTGCGGGGTGGTCGGAGAACAAGTCTGAGGGGTGAGGAGGAAGGGGCGTATCAGGGCAAGGCGCCATGGGACAGAGACTTCACGGGCCGGCCTGTCCCCAGCAGCTGAAGCACCAGAGAGACCTTCCGAAGGGTGGGAAAGAGGATTGGGGTGGAGGAGGCAGCCCTGCGTCCGGACCGACGCAGGGTCTTCCGTGGGTCATGTCCAAGCTCTGCTTTGGTTGCCCGTGGAGCCATCGAGAGAGAGAGGAGGTGGGGTACATGCTGTGTAGACCCTCTGGCCTCGGTCCCATGGACATCAGGCCTCCCCATCAGAGGTCCCGCCACGCCCCTTCGGGCGGAAGGGAGAGCACAGTCTTCCCACAGCATGGCCAGGGACGACCGGGATCTCTGAGGTCCTGGAGTAAGGAGGCTGCACTGGCTCTTCTTGTTTCTCATTGGGGCATTCAGCACATTTTGGAGACCCTGCTGCATGTCAGTTACTGTTCTAAGGGGTAAGAACTAAACAAGTTTAGATTCTGGCACAGACAAGGAACTTCAGAAGGCACAGAATGTGCTGGCTGGAGGGAGGCTGAGTGTGGGAGAAGCCAGGGAGCACACACAGCCCACCCAGCCCGCCCAGAACCAGGGAGTGCACTTAGCCCACCCAGCCCGCCCAGCCCATTCAGTACCAGGGAGCGCACCCAGCCGGCCCAGCCCATCCAGTGCCAGGGAGCGCACCCAGCGCACCCAGCCCTCCCAGCCCGCCCAGAACCAGGGAGCGCACCCAGCCCTTCCAGTACCAGGGAGCGCACTCAGCCCACCCAGCCCATCTAGTACCAGGGAGCGCACTCAGCCCACCCAGGACCAGGGAACGCACCCAGCCCACGGTGCCTGCTTGGTGAGAATTCTCTGTACCTGCAGGTCCCCACCAACCCCCTGAGTCCACCTGTACTGGTTTGCTGTGCTGGGATGTTTTTAACTCTAGTTTTGTGTTTCAGATAACTTTACTTTTTGATCTTTTCATTTATTTTTTTTAATAGAGATAGGGTTCACCTGTGTTGCCCAAGCTGGTCTTGAACTCCTGGCCTCAGCCTCCCAGAATGCCAGGATGATAGGCGTGAGACACTTCACCCAGCCAGGGTGTTCGTTTTCAAAGATGCGCTTCCTCGGGACCATGTGTGGTTTGTTGTCAGCCATAAGGATAAGGCATGCAGTTAGAGTCAGAGTTTGTCTGGTCTTGGGAGCACGCTGAGCTCTCCTTCTCTGGATTTGTTAAAGATAACAAGGACAATTACGGGGGACATCCAGAGGAAAATGTTTAGAGCCACAGACTCCGAGAAGCGCTATGCGAAGATGTGGCAGCTGCTGTGGTCTGAAAATTGTTTGGGAGAACACTTGGAGACCCCTTACCCTGGCGAGGTGCCTGTGAACATTGCCGCCTGTCCGTGGAAGTTGCTGAAACAGCGTGGCATGACCACATGTGCTAACCAAGCCCTGAGCCAGGGGACCATTGTGATGTTTGGAGGGTTTTTATTGTATATAGGGCTGAGGTCCCCACAGAGTCATGATGGGCTGAGCCTTATGCTGTGCTGAGGCGCAGGATCCGAGAAATAAATTATATATAGGGCTGAGGGCCCACAGGGTCGTGGGTGAGCCTTATGCTGTGCTGAGGGGCAGGATCCGAGACATAGAGACAGGACACAGAAGTACAAGGAAAACGCAGCTGGACTCAGGGGGCCACGCCACCTGTAAGCGGAGTCAGGCTAGGCCCCGAATGTCCAGAAGCAACAATATTTATTGTGTATAGGTTAGGGGACAGGGCAGTGAGTGAAATCATCTTTAAGGACAGTGATAGGGTCGTGAGCAATAAAACATGGGGTCCACCCCCATTAGGTCACCGAGGCTTGAAGGTGGGTCGTGCTCAGTAAGGAGCGTGCAGTGTGCAATACTTCTATCTATGGGCAAACTACTTCTAAGAAGATTTATAGGAGGATCCTTTAAGTCACAGAGCAGTGACAGAGCTGTCAGGGTTACCGCCACCTGCTGGCAGCTTCCAGTGGGTTCTATGGGAAGATGCTTTTCGAGCAGCACAGTAGCAAGAGCTGATAGAGTTCACAGTCACCAAGGTGGATTGCCGGTCTGAGGGCGGCCTTCCCCAAGAACTGGAGCAAGGTCCTACAACGCCTTTACCAGGAGCAGTGGCTCTCGCCCCAAGCCTGCCACACAGCGGGTATCTTTGCGATACTGAACGCTGCCGCCTGGGCCATGGGTTCTTGTCCTGGCATAACTGTTTTCCCTTAAATCATGCTCTGCGCCATATCTGCTCTAGGCATTCCTCCGATTATAAGCTGTTTATTCCTTAATTCATGCTCTGTACTGTGTCCACTCCAGGCATTCCTCTGACTATGAACTAAGATATAATTATATATATATGTAGGGAAATATTCTTTAGGCACTCCTCATACTATCAACTATTATATGATTACATATAGAGAGTTATATAAAGGGATTCCTCAAGCCCTAATTCTATAAACTAATATATGATTATGTAAAGGATTATATAATAGGAAATAGCAGTAGTAACACTATAAACTGAGATATTTTTCAGGTCTTAACTGTGCCAGGGTTCTGCTTAGTTCTCCTTCCTCAGTGCCTACATGGGGGGTTACCCACAGTTGTATGCTTAGGTCTAGGAATGGCACCTCAAATGAGCTTGTCAGGGACCCGAGGACGTGGTGTGTGGGGTCATCTCAGATACCGCAGGTTTCCGGAAGACACCTCTCTTAGTCGCCCTGGATCAGCATTTCCCAGTTTCACCTACACTTGGGAAGTGCGAGTAGCTAGATGAAGTCTTTCTGGTCTTGCTGGTCAGAGCCAGGAGCGCCAGCATCACTGTCCAGGAGCCTCTCGCAGGCCTGGGACAGCCCGTCGGGCGTGGCCTTTCCTTGGCCCTTTGGGCGATGCCATTGTGTTTTCCTCTTGGTCTTGGCCTTCCTGCCCGCCTGGCATAAGTGCAGCCATCTCCAGGAAGGCAGCTGGTATTTTCCACTCCTCGTGGCAGAGAGCCAGCTGTCCTCATGCCCTCACCCTCGTGAAGTGGCTGAATTCCCAGGATGTATCGCAGCTCTGTTCTGTGTGCCTTCCCGGGGAGTCTGCCCAGACAGCAGGCAGGTAGGAGGAGCCATTGGACAGACCCAGCATCCTGGTGAGGATACAGAAGTCGGCCTCTGAGTCTTTTTGTGCTGTTGTCCCCACCGTGATGTGTGGACGTGGTGCTCTGTGTAGGGCAAGGACCGGAACTCACAGTTGTGGACCTTACTCTCCAGAAGCACTGGGTTTGAGCAGCTCTGAAGCGTGTCCTCCTGCAGGGCTGCCGTGCCTGGAGCCCTTTCTCTGGGTCCCTTGCCCTCTGCCTCCCTTCCTGCTGGGTCCTCTTCATTCCCATTTCTGCTTCCACAGGACCAAGAGGGTGCTGGGCACTTGGTGACCACCTCAAGGGACAAAGGGTTATCTTTATCTCTCAGGTCATCTCTGTGTTTGGGGGGAAATTGGAAAATGGTGTTCCAATTAGGGTTGATCACTGATCAGTTTCCCTGGGCTGCACAAGGAGTGACTGCTGGCAGCCACTTTAAACGCTGCAGGAGGGTCTCTGTCATGGAAGGCAGTACCAAAGAAGTCAAGTTTTATGCCAGGAATCCCAGCACTTTGGGAGGGCGAGGTGGGTGGATCACG